CACAGAAATCCAGAGTGAAATGTAATCACAGAAATCCAGAGTGATATGTAATCACAGAAATCCAGAGTAAAATGCAATCACAAAAAGGGTAGACTGATTTCTAGAGGCCTCAGGGGTCTGGAAAGGTTTCACGAGGAGACAGAATTTAAGGACTTTGGGGCGCGGATGTAACTCAATAGCAGAGCACCTGCCTAGACTGTATGAAGCCCCAAGTTTGATCTGCTGAACCACAACAATTCAAAGAGCCTTGTGAAAGCCTTCAGTGGAGTGGAGCTAAGCAGTGTGAGCAGGCACAGCACCGGGAAAATGAGGACATACATCAGACAGCTCAATGGTAACTGGGAGGAAGGGGAAGCAGGCTGGGAAGATAAAAGATCAGTACCAAGCAATGGGAGCCACTGGAGTCAGCAAACAGGAAAATGAAAGTCAGTCTATTATAAAAGATACAAGTATCCACCACTTTACAAAGAAATGGTCAGAATAAGAAATGGTCTTGGATATCATTTATTTTCTTAGAGTCCCTGTGTAGTACTGCCTAGGTCTGGAACTTGCTATGTAGACCAGGTTGGCCTTGAACTGACAGAGATCCTCTTGCCTCTGCCACTTAAATGCTGAGATTAAAGGCATATACCTGCTCAGTTTAATAATTTGAATTTTTTGTTTTGTTTTGAGATAGGGTTTCTCTGTCCTGGAACTCAAGCTGTAGACCAGACTGGCCTTGATATCAGAGATTCGCCTCCCTATCTCTGCCTCCCTAGTGCTGGGGTTAAAGTTGTGTGCCATCACTGCCCAGCCTAATAATTTGTATTTTTAAATGCCTTCACTTAAATGTCAAATATTCATTTTATCAATAAGTCAATCTTTGATTTTCCTAAATTCTGTTATTTATGGATGATGAATCTTACCTATTTTGAATTTGGAGTACCACAAGAATGATGTTTCTATTTAATACCATTTTGGGGGGAGGCATCCTATTTTCTATTTAAATAGCTCAAATGAAATTAATAAACAAATCCAATATAAATGCATTGTAAAAAATATATTTTAATCCCAAAGTGGAATATTAGCATTTAGAAAGTCATTTCCAACAATATTTACAATGAACTTTATTGTAGCTTCTTAAGCAGGAAGATGCTGATTCCCAATTTTGGGACTATAAAAAAGAGTAAAAGAGTTCTGATGAAAATCATTAAGATCAAGTAAAATTCTCATCAATTCCTGTGGTTAAAAACTTCTGTCTAGCCGGGTGGTGGTGGCGCACACCTTTAATCCCAGCACTCGGGAGGCAGAGGCAGGCGGATCTCTGTGAGTTCGAGGCCAGCCTGGACTACCAAGTGAGTCCCAGGAAAGGCGCAAAGCTACACAGAGAAACCCTGTCTCGAAAACCCAAAAAAAAAAAACAAAAAAAAAAAAAACTTCTGTCTGAATAGATCAGGACAGAGGCAGCAAGTGGGTGCCTGCCCACTCCTCCCTCATTATGTGACCAAACTGCTCTTGAAACTACAACAGGGTTCCCTGGGCAAAGCACACCACGAGTTTCATTTTAACTTTGAGTCTTTTGACTCTCAAAACTCATGACCTATCAGTCACTTCCAAAACAGCCAGTCACTATCCTACTAACAGCCAGGAAATTGTTACAGAGGCTGCTGCCTGAGTGGAAAGAGGGGATGTCTAGACTGTAGATCAAAGGCTGAAGAACTGCCTCACAGGGGCAGCAGATGCTAACAGCAAAAGGCAGTTCGACTGAGAGCAGCTGAACGCCTACAGCATGAGATGGAAGTTTGAAAGAGACAGGGCTAATAACATCACCTACCAATTGCTTCCTGTAGGACTAAGGCAGCCAAGGTCTGCTTCTAAGGAAGGAAAAAAGATTGTGTGGCTTAGTGAAACCTACTGGTCACATTTTGATTTCGTCCTTGATCAGAAATCTACATTATAAGCCAGGTGCAGTGGTGCACACCATTGGTCCCAGCACTCGGGAGGCAGTAGCAGGTGATGTCTGAGTTCGAGACCAGCCTGGTCTATAGTGAGTTCCAGGATACACAGGCTACACAGAGAAACCCTGTCTTGAAGGGGGGAAAAAAATCAAAAACCTAAAACTCAATGTGTTGTACTTATATAAAAATACAACTCGTTTTGAGTTGCTAGAAATAAATTATGAAGAAAAATAAACACTACATGTTTCTAATGGTTTCCCTGGAATCTGCCACTTTTGCCTGGGAAAATATACATGGAATTTAATATTAAACTTCAAATTTATTCTTTTCTCACCCTGTGATTTTTTTTAAGCAAAGAGCACTAAACAAGCTAGGGGTGGTGGGATAAAAACTTTCTCAAGTCAAGCTGGGCAGTGGTGGCGCACGCCTTTAATCCCAGCACTCGGGAGGCAGAGGCAGGCAGATCTCTGTGAGTTCGAGGCCAGCCTGGTCTCCAAAGCGGAAAGGCGCAAAGCTACACAGAGAAACCCTGTCTCGAAAAAAAAAAAAAAAAAAAAAAAAAAAAAAAAAAAAAAAACTTTCTCAAGTCATGTATCCACGTGGGAGCTTCATGAAAGAAGTATTAACTAGCTATGGTGTAACACATCTGTAATCCCAGCACTCAAGGAAGAAGCAGGGCATCTCATCTTGAGATCAGGCCAGCCTGGGCTACACAGTGAGATCCTGTCTCAAAAACTTAAAGAAAAAAAATTTTAAGAGAAAACTGTGTGGCATATCTCATTATAGTAAAATAAAAGAAAAATGGAAATCTGGTTTTATTTTGGGGTGTGTGTGTATGTTCTAGGGATTAAAACCAAAGCTTCAAACATGCTAATTAAACATGCCTCAGGTTTGGCTTTGTAACTATAAGTGGTTGGCAACTGTTTCTTTAATAGTTATTGCAGGAGTAGGTCCAACATGAGTCCATATGTAGCCTTTCTCTGGTCTGGTGGGAACTGTAGGAAATGGTGACGACCTTGACTTGAAATACTCAGAAGGTGCGTGGCAAACAAATTCCAGGTATTCCATCTTCCTTGGAAGATCTTCCTCTGGCCCTAAGAGGCAGCCAATGGAAAAGGTAAACAGTTTCAAATTATTTTTATGAAATGTTAGCTTTCTTAGACACCAAAAGGAAGCACTCAGAATGTCCGACCTGACATTAGCTCTTGAAACATCTTCCTCTGAAGTCACATTCTACTATTTATTCTACCTCAACTCATTAAGGCATATAGCATCCTCCCACAACAAAGTGACTCAGCTAAGAAAGGATCCTAATACTGCATATTTACAGTTTATGAAGTGCCTTTACTGTTCTCAGTACTTCATATCTCTCTAAACTTTGACTCCTCATGGAGCACTATTTTTTCCTACTTTACATATAAGTACAACAAGACAGATTAAAGACTGGCCAGGTTCCTCTGTCAGCTGGCTAGGAAAGCCTATAGTCTGTTCCAGAACCAGTGCTCTGACCTTCCCACCATGTGGCATTATGTAGGGCAGGGCAGAACCTCAAACTTGAGAGGAGTCCAGAAGGATTCAGAACATAGTGGCCTCTGCGGGTTCCGTACTTACAGGCACAAGATACGTTTGGTCATACAACAAGCCTGACGTGAGTGAGAATAACAAGGGGGATATTAGTTGTCCTTGGAGTTCTCACTAAAAGAAATGTCTTTCCTTTTGGGGTGCAAATGAATGTGTGCCCGTTACAGAAAGAATGAAAAGTACAGAATAACTATGAACACGCAGATTAGTCATTGTTTTTTGAGTCCGTCACGAATTATTTGTACTCTATCTTTTGAACACCTTGAAATGATAACAGAGTCTAGTGTGCCATTTCAACCATCAACAATGATTTTTAAAAATTTTTTTTTTTAAGAATAGGATGTCATGAATGCTGTGTAGAGGGGCATATCCTGAGAATTTATTGTTTTTAGAAATAATTAGGAAAGTTCTTTTAGAAATTGTTTTTGAATAATTTTATAGGTAACCTATATAACCTATATTGTATAATTGTATAATTCTTTTTATACAATTTAGGCCTGGGTCACACAAACAAATCTTATCCACACCAAATTTTAGGTACACATTGTTCTAGCCCATAGTAACAGATGACAATCAAATACTAACCACATAAAATGCCTATAATGTTCCCTACTTTTTTGTACTTACTGACATTTATGCCTTTTTTATTCTGATTAAACGGTGTTGTTCTCAAGCCTCTAAATCCATATGCTGAAGGTCTACCTTTCTATGTTATGTGCTGGAGATGGGACCATTAGACAAGTAACCAGGGTCAAATAAATCCAAGAGTGGGCCCCCTCAACTCTTGACAAAGAACTACAGGCAACTAAGGAATACTGAGAGTCAGAGAATTGGTCATGGTGTTTCCTCACAGCAACAGAACAGTAACTAAGACACACCCATTGGTTATGTACTACCAAGTGGTCAGCCCTGAAATCACAGGAATAAAGCAACATCAAATGGACTGAGCAGGTTGTATTTATGCAGTTAGGAATATACATTAATATATACAGCAATTAAATAACAATAAAAGAAGTAGAGCCATGAATTTGAGAAAGATTGGGGTGGGGTACATGGGAGAACTAGAGGGAGGAAAGGAGAAAATAATATAATTGTATTTTAATTTTAAAAAAGTGAAGGATTATGGGAGCCAGAGAGGTCAAGGAGACCACAAGAAAACACACAGAATCAACTAACCTGGGCTCATGGGAGCTTACAGAGCGGAACCAACAACCAGGGAGCCTGCATGGGACTGACGTAGGCTCTCTACACATATGCTCCAGTTGTGTAGCTCGCTCTTCTTGTGGGACTCCTTACAATGGGAGCAGGGGCTGTCTCTGACTCTGTTATCTGCTTTTGGGACTCTTTCCTCCTACTGGGTTGCCTCATCCAGCCTTAATAGGAGAGGAGGTGCCTCATCTTACTGCAGCTTGATATGCCACGGCTAGGTGATATGCATGGGAGGCCTGTCCTTTTCTAAAGAGAAAGGAAGAGGAGTGGATGTGGAAAGGGGGGCGTTGAGGGAGGGACTGGGAAGAGAGGAGGGAGGGGAAACTGTGACTGGGCTGGAAAAAATTAATTAATAATTTTAAAAAAGTGGATCTCTATCTGATAAGACAGATGCCCTTCAACCAGGAGCCCTCTACATATATGTGACAGTTATGTAGCTTGGTCTTCTTGCAGGACTCCTAACAGTGGGAGCAGGGGCTGTCTCTGGCTTTTGGGACCCTACTCCTCCTACTGGATTGCCTTGCCCAGCCTTAATGCATGGGGAGGTGCTTAGTCCTACCACAACTTGATATCCCATGCTTTGTTGATATCCATGGGAGGCCTGCCCTTCTCTGAGCATAAATGGAAGGGTAGATTTGGGGAGGGTGGGGACGATAGGAAGGAGGAGGGAGCATGCAAATTAATTCATTAATTAAAACAAAAACAAAACCTAGAGAGGGTGACAGGCAGCGAAAAACTAAGCTTGGCTATGAAGGAGCCATAGCCTGGCAAAGTCTAGGGACAGAATTACACCTTCACGATAGAGGTCATAGAATTCTGTTTTACAATGAAAATAAACAAGTGTGGCAAGATGTTTTATAAAACCAGGATTATATTGAAAAGTAAAATATTCTTTTCTGGTACTGGGTGTGGAGGCTGGTGTCCTTACATGAGGTAATAAAGAGCTTTCAATGTGCATACACAGAAAAATGACCATTGGGGGGGGGTGTCGCACATCAAAAAGGCAGCCACCTGCAAGCCAGGAATCAAGGCCTTACCTCAAAGCCATTTTTGCAGCGCCTTGCTCTGACTTCCACCCTTCAGAACAGCCTGCGGCATTTTGCTATGACAGCTCACAGACTAACATTCCTCTATAAAGCACAGAAGAATTAACTACATTTAAGAGCCGTGCCGTTTAGTCAAGCTTACCTATGATATAGGACGCAGGATCAAACTGGTCTCTGGGGCTGGCAAGGGTAGGAATGAGCCAGGTCAGTGCTGCGCTCTTCTCACAGTACTGGTCCTGAATAAAACCCCTGATCTGAGCATAGTACGGCTTTCCATCTTGCTCATCAATCACGGAAACAACATCACCAATTTGGTAATACACTCCCTGGGGGAAACAGAAGATAATCTTGTATTTAAAACAGTAACAGATCACAGCCACGAACAAAACTTCATGCATCAGCAAGCAAATTTCAAAATAGAAAAAAAAAAGGTCTGAGTACCAATGTTTTACATTATGTTGACATTTGTTTCACTTCTGAATGAAAAATAATACATAGATACACATGACAATTTGCAACCAGGGAAATATTTCTTTATATAAATTCTTTGATTTTTGTATCATGAAAGTACTGTCTCTGCTTTTAAAAGAAAGACTTCACTTTTAAAAATGATTTTGAATTCACAACAAACTCATGGAAGGCAGAGCTAGGGAATTTCCCTTAGTGTCCTTACCGGGCACATAAACAGCATCCTACATTATCTGTGTCCCCATTATCAGAGTGAGACACTTATGGCAACTGATGGACCTACACATCGCATCATGACTCAAACATCATACATTAACCTTAATCTAGGTGCTATTTAATCTCTGGGTCTGGGACATACATAACATGCATCTACTATGATCATATCATTGAATAGTTTTACTGGCCTAAAAATCCTTTATACTATTCATAATTTTTTTAACCCAGTTATTAAGCTGTAGAAAGTTAAATGACTTATTGCTCAAGTCCACACAAGGCAGAAACTGCTAACTATACACCCACACTAAGTAGCTTAGCAGCTTTCCTGCACGACCTTAGAAACCAGCATTTGCTTGGTGAGACTAGACTCTTCACATTGCCCTCCCTGACAACTGTCTCCTCCATGCCCTTTCTGTTTTATATCTCCCCACAATATAATTATGATACATTCACTTCCTGTTCTACTTTCTATCTAACTAATCTGTATAACTCCAGTATTGAATTTTCCCTATGCCTCCACTATCCATCCCAAGTACTCTTCCCTGGATCTTGAGCTGGAAAAATGTCACCTTTGATTATCCGTAATGGTTGATCTTTATGATATGCAGAATAACTTAAGTGGGCATAGTCCTCAACAGGTCATACATTCCTCAACTGTAGGAACAATGTGTGTTTCCCTCGAAACAAGGCTTATGTAGCAGCCAAAGCTGCTAAGATACATGAAGTTTAACCATAAAAAGATTCTGCATGAATACTTCCAGTAATTCAATTGCAACACAGGCATCTGACAGACCAGGGGTTTCTCCTAGTGGATGCTTGATCATGTGTCTGGGGTGACTCACCTCTGGGTCCCAATGAATGTGTACTGTTATTGCAGGCTACAGTCTACTACTTACTGGTCCACAGCTATCATCAGCTGGTCCTGCCCCTACTATTCCAAGGTTCTAAGCTACCTATCAGATAAAGTTTATGTTTGTTATCTGTTATGTTCACACATATAATTTTGCCCCAATTATAAAAGGTTGTATTTGTTTTGTCACAGGCACTCAGATCTGTGATGAGTATGAATCACAAATATGTCACAGTGTGAAAATAAAGATGCAATGCAAAGATAAGGTCTTGGTGAAGTTTCAGTGGCAAGCACCGCCTAGCCCATAGTGTGTGTAGCAGTCCCCCCTTGTGTGCGGGGGACACATGCTGATACCCGAGGAGATACTTGAAGCCTTGGATACTGCTACTTTAGGCATTCCAGACTTTCCTCCTATATGTCCATACTCATGATACAGTCTAATTTATAATTTGGGTAAGAGATTAACAGCAGTAACTAGTACTAACTAGAACTAATAATAACTAGCAATAAAACAGAACAGCTGGAACTGCAGATAAGGGGAGACTACCACACAATACCTGGCAAGCATCACTAAGACACTTTATCTAAGCACTCTCCATTTGCTGGCAGAGAGAAAGGAGGTGAACATGTGAGAACCACTGGACTGGGAATGGCCACGCTAACTTCATGCAGCCCTGACACTGCAGTACTCAGAAAGGTCACTTACTGTTTGCTTCCCACATGCCCACATTCTTGCCTGCCAGTCCTAGCGACGACCCCCATTCATCTCTCTCTCATGAGTTTATTATTTCTAAGTTATGTGTGGGGTGTGTGTGTGTGTGTGTGTGTGTGTGTGTGTGTGTGTGTACATGTGCATGTGAATGGAGGTGCCTGGAGTTGGAATATAGTTGCTGTGGTTGGCTGGACACAGGTGCTGGGAACTGAACTCGGGTCCTCTGAGGGAGCAGTATGTGCTCTTAACCACTGGCCACCTCTTTGGTCCCTCCCTCTCATACGTTGGACAGGGTCCAGCTCAGCTTAGAAGCTCACACTGATGTCTTGAACTTACCACCATGATGCTGGCTCTGCCATGAGAATTGTCCAGAATGCTGGCTATCTGCAACACTACTTAAATATTTTGCTGTATTTTGGTCTTACTATTTAATAAACATAGCAGTAGATAGCAATAAGAAAAGACTGATCCTTACAATAACAAGTCCCACACAGTTTTCCATTAGCACACACAGAAATCATTAGTACACTCAATTTTTATCTTCTAGACATAACCTATACACTGTATGACCCAATGTACACAAATCTGAAGCTGTGATGATGACCATTTGTACCATTCACTGATCTTGTTAAATGTTTAACGTGCATAATCTCAGGAAGTAATTACTACTTACAATCTTTATTGCCAAGGCAATGTAGCCAAGATCTCATTTCTGGTCTTAGGTTCTAGCACCAGACTGCCTTGCCCATGACTTACCAGCTACACTATCTTGGATAAGCTAATTAATCTCCATGAGTCAATGTCCGTATCCATAAAATGAGGAAAACAGTACTCACCCTAGAGGAGACTGAATGAAACAAAACACTTGAAATGCTCAGCTCACTGCCTGATCCATAAGATGCATGCTTGTGTGTGCAAGTATTCAAGCACATGTGCACACATACTCAACACACACCCAACTTTATCTTATGATTAGCAATTAATCTATTATTAATTCTAGAAATAGAGGCGAAATTCTGGCCTATGACATACTTTTTTTTGGACTAAAACACCTGTGCACTAACAAAATAAATACACTCAAAGGTCTAACTATTTGAGTATCATGAGGTATTTGGTCCAGTTGGGTCAGGTATAAAGCACAGACTCACCACTGCCTCCTGCATGACAGTTCAGATCCCCAAACACCAAAGTAATGTAATGACTGCTGCCTATGCCAGGCCTGACAGCCTTCAAGGCATTTTCTATGTCCTAACACCCCTCACTGAAGTCATGAGTATCATCTTTGGCCCAAGAGAAGACCTCATTTTAATCAACAAAGTCTTAGACAGTAAACTAAGAATATCCTTGTTCAGATTTTTGTTTTTTGTGTATGGGCATCCTGACTGCATGTAAGTTTGTATACCATATGTGTGCCTGGTGCCCAGGGAGGCCAGAAGGCAGCTTTGGATCCCCTGGAACAGGAACTACTAACGGTTGTGAGCTGCCATGTAGGTGCTGGGAACTGAACCTGGTCCTCTGGAAGAGCAGCCCAGTGCTCTTAACTGTTCAGCCATCTCTTCAACCCAACCTTTAAAAACTTCTTTTTATTGAAAATAGATCCATCCAATACATCCCAACCAGAGTTTCCCCTCCCTCCACTCCTCCCAGCTCCCCCACGCCTCCTCTCTCCCCCAGATCCACTCCTCCTCCGTTTACCTTCAGAAAAGAGCAGACCTCCAAGAGACAACAACCAAACACCAAGCTAACAGCCCTACACAGACATAGAGGACCTGGTGCCTCTACCTTTCAGGCAGTTCAGAATCACTGACCTGCTCTACCCACTAGATAGTGCGGTCAACGCCATCCATTCATTCATATCCTCCTCACACACTGATGCCTTTGCTTTGGACAGGATGACTCACTCTTACACAGTGCCACACTATACACTAGTGTTTTAGGAACAATTCCTTAGCACCTTCATATCATAGTCTCAAAGGCAACTTCCCTTCCCACCTGAGCTCTGGTTGATGTTTTACAGCAGCCACCTGGAGGGAACTAAGAGGGCACCCCATCTTCTGCACACACAGAGCAGCAGTGACGTGCCAACGGAGCCACTATTTTAGTAGCACGTTGTACAACAGGCCAACTGCTCTTTCAGTAACTCCACAGCAGCTTACCTTGTAGAAGATTGACTCTGCAGTAATTATGGTAGAAACAGATTCAGGAGCTTTGATAGGCTGTAAGAAAACAAAAGGAAAAATATTTGTGTATGTATAGTATGCATGGGTATTTCCCCAACCATACGAGAACTGGGTTATTTGAGAAAAACAAAACATTGTTATTTGGTGACAAAAAATGCAGGAAAAATTTCTGACAGGTGTGATGGTGCATACACGTAATCCCAGCACTTGGAAACCTGAGGCAAGAGGATGGCAAATTTCAAACCAGTCTGGTTATACAGCAAGAGTGTACACACACACACACACACACACACACACACACTCACACACACACACACACACACACACACACACACACACACACACACTCACATGCACAGGATAAAAAAGACTTCTTGAATGTTGATGTGAAGCAGTTGAATATTTTCAACTATACTTGCTACCAACAATTTAAAAGGTGCTGAAAAAGAAGAGGTCAAGTTTCTGACTATGCTGCTAAGAGTTAACACAGAGCTTTTTCAGAGCTCTAGCAGACATTAACATTCCAAATAAAGAAATACACTGGCTCTAAAAGTCTGAGCACAACAGGTTTGAAATTATAAAAAACATACAGATGAATATAAAATGAAATTTTTTATTTATTTATTTTTTTTGGTTTTCTTCGAGACAGGGTTTCTCTGTGTAGTTTTGGTGCCTGTCCTGGATCTCACTCTGTAGGCCAGGCTGGCTTCAAACTCACAGAGATCTGCCTGGCTCTACCTCCCGAGTGCTAGGATTAAAGGCGTGCATCACCATCATCATCACCACCACCACCACCTGGATAAAATGAAATAATGACCTCTCCCATGATTTTGTGCCATTCTTGAAAAATGAAGATGCAGAGAAACTAATAATGAAATAACTTGAGAAACAAGCTGAATACTTACAAAGAAAATATACCTGTTATACAAATATGTTAATGTTTTGACTACTCAAAAAACCTTAGTTTAAGAAAGCTAAATTATAAAAATCTTCTCCTATAAAAACCATTACTCAGACTAAGAGAAGAGTCACTGGTGGGGAGATGGATCAATGTATAAAAGCATTTGCCATGCAAGCCTGACCACCTGATATGGGTACTGGAACCCACGGGGGAAGGAGGGAACCAGCTCCTGAAACTTGCTCTCTGATCTCCACATATGTGTCATGGCATGTATATATGCAAACAATAAAAAATAAGTTAGAAAAGAAAAGAAACAAATCAGGCCTGGAGAGCTGTCTCAGTGGTTAAGAGCACTGGCTGCTCTTGCAGAGGACCTGAGTTCAGTCCCCAGCACCCCCATGGCCGCTCACATCACAACTGTCGGTACTTCCAGAACCAAGGGGTCTGATGCCCTCTGCTAGCCTGAGGGGACTTGGTATACACATGCAGGCAAAACACTCATACACATAGACTGAAAATAAATATTTAAACGAGAGTCTACAATCTGGGCCCCTCTGTTTCATAAAGAAGTATGTCTACCTTAGTAGTGTGTTTACTAGTAAGTGAAGCATTTTTGTTCCAAAAGTAATACCAAACCAAGATTAAAAAAAAAAAAACCTGCATCGTTCACTGTCTCATATGTACAAAAATAAAACATCACAATAAATGTATCTAGCATGAGACTTTAAACAATCTTCACATACATCAGATTTAGAAAAAAATTTGGATTCATATTCACCAAGTTCATCATGAACCAATAGATACATTTTTCTGGGACTACCATAACAGATATGGTATTGATGAATCCTGTATTTGCTTAGCTCTTTAAAAGGCAGAAAAGTTTTCTTAGTTAACTATGCACCAAGAGCCATAAATGAAACCATTAGTGAACTAATTTAATCAATTTTTAAAAAGAACCATAATCTTTCTTTCTTTCTTTGCAGAGAATGTGAGAAATTGAGATAAATTATACAATTTTTCTTAGACTCTTATATTGTATTTGAGATGAAAAAGTACAAGCTGGAAAAAACAGAGAAAGTGCTTTTCTAACGTTATAAATAGCAAGCTTCTTAAACAGAGTTCATCTTTTGGGGAACCTCACCTTCCCTCCAGAACAGGCACACCTTCAAGAGGTATGCATTCAATGATGAATAGAGAAAGCAGCGGCAAGGCACACCACACACCCACACACCCACACACACAAAATGTCCTACAGTAAACACACAGTCACAATCACCTTACGTTTTTTAATTTAAAAATGTGCCTTCTCCCTTTTCCTTTAGTGGAAACTTTCTTTTCAGCAGCTGGAGCAGATTTGTATTTGGTATTTCTGAGCCGAGCAGACCTTCTGTGAATTTCTTGCTTACTCTGTTACATAATTTAGAGAAAAGGAAATTAAAACTGTAGAAAAGCCAATCTAATAATCTCACAAAGACCAGAGGATGCGCTTTGTTAAAAAATACTTGTAAAAAACTGAGGGCTAAGATGGGTCAACCTGGGCAGGGCCTCCCAAGAGGTGGCGCTGCTTACAAGGGGGAAGAGGACAGGGGTGGGTGGAGGCCAAGGCGGGAACTATTCGTTCGAGGCCATCCCACAGGAAAAATTCCTAATTTACTGCACCCCACCCCACTGCACCCCATCCCAAAAGTTTCCCACACATAACCGAATTCCAGTGCTGTCATTTTAAACGGCCTGATAATTTATTAACAACATAATGACAAGGATTTAACAGGCAAGAGGCCCTTGGCCCACGACCCTGTGGCCTATGGCGCTGCTCTGCGGGCACTGTGTGGGGACCACTTCTGCAGCTGGTCATGCACCGTCCGGTCTACCGCACCAGGCTCTGCCCAGCGGGCGCCAGGGGCCGCGAGCTCACCTGCTTGCCACCCCCGCCCCCGTTGCTCTGCGGAGGGCCGGCCGAGGTGCTGGCGAAGGCGGCCGTGCCGAAGGCGC